AGGTGATCATGTATTGTGTTATATTATATTTCTGGAAAATTTAAGGGGTAGTTATATAATAATTTTAGACGATCTCGAGCGATCAGATACTTATGACCGCTACTGTACATCAAGAATTAGCTAAAATTTAATTTATTTTATTTATAACTGATTGATATCTGATTTATATTCAATTGATATATAGTCCAAGTTCTCTATAGCGAATTTTTGTATTATGAATTTTATGTTATTGTGAATTACATAGGTGATACCAAATTTTATTAAATAAAATTATTAAATATAACAAATTTTTATAGTAAATCTTACTATTACATATAACAAATATAAAGATCCGTATAAGTATAATAAAATGAATCTTTTATTAACGAATTTTTTTTTATAATAAATTTTTATAATAAATATAATAAATTTTTTTTATAACGAATTTTTATAATAAATATAACGAATTTTTTTTAACAAATTTTCACAATAAATTTAAGAGATATAATGAATTTTTTACAATTACTAGAGTTCCAGACGAGTCAAGTTAACTCACAAGTCAGATAAGCTGAGTTGAGTTTAAATTGAGTTGAGTTTATATTTTTTTGATTTGATGATTTGCGAGTCAAGCCAAATTCAAGTTGAGTTAAATATTTGACTCAACTCAATTTAAACTCGACTTAATTCGAGTTGACTCAAGTTAACTTAAATGATTTCTTTTATCGTTCAAGAAAAACGATGACGAATTATTCAACTTGAACAATTTCTTTTATCGTTCAAGTCGAACAATGACCAAATCATTTGACTTGAACGATTTCTTTTATTGTTCAAGAAAAACAATGACCAAATTATTCAACTTGAACAATTTCTTTTATTGTTCAAGAAGAATAATGACCGAATCATTCAACTTGAACGATAACGAATCGTTCGCTCTTTCTCTCCTATCTTTTCATTTTTTTTTATAATTTTTTTCAAAATCGAATCAAGTTAAAATCAAGTCAAGTCAAATTGAGTTGAGTTTAAAATTTATATAACTCGAATCAAATCAAATTGAAAGATTTTATAAAATAAATTTGACTCAACTTGACTCAAAAAAAGAGAGTTGAATAGAGTTGATTTTTAAATTCACTCGACTCGATTCATTCGGAACTCTAACAATTACTATTAATAAATAAATTAAACGATTGTGTAAAATTTTTTGATAATCAATTGATCATTTAAAATACCCAAAGAAAAGAGAAAAAAATTTCATCTAAAGGCAAAGAGAAAGCTTCTAATATAAAACAAACTAGAGCCTCTCTTACAAGTGCTCAAAAACAAGAAGTTTGTCTAAAAAAATTACAGAAACCAGCACCTAAAAATAAAGAACTTGTTAAAGAATTTAATATTTCAGAGGAAATGATATATGATATTTTAAAAGAAAGTAAAAAATGGTTAGTTTTAAAATTAGATTCTTATAAAGCTTTACTTAAAAGACAGATCAAGCCAAGTTTTTCATAAATTAAAGAAGCTTTGGACTTTTGGGTTGAAAAAGCCATAGATAATAATATTACTATTAATGGCGAATTATTAGCACAAAAATATGTAATTTTGCAACATTACTTAATGTATAAGGCTTTAAAGGATCGGATGGATGGGTAGTAGGTTTTAAAAAATGCCATAATCTTGAATGTTATGTAAAACATGATGAAACAGCAAGTACTCCTTTAGAAGATTTAGATAATATGCGTAGAGATCTTCAAAATATTCTTAAAGAATATTCACCTAATGATATCTTTGATATAGATAAAATTGGACTTTATTGAAAAATAAAACCAAATCGCACTTTATCAACTGGTTTAGGTAAATTAAATATTAATTATTGTAAAATTAATATAAATAATTAGATAAAAATTAAAATAATACTTATTATAGTTGTAGGTAAAAAGAAATCTAAGGAATATGTTACTGTTGCATTATGTTGTAATATCTTAGGAACTGAAAAAGTAAAGGCAGTTTTTATTGGAAAAAGTTAAAATCTGCGTGTCTTAAAAAATATTTCAAAATTATCATTACCAGTGCAATACTATTAGAATAAAACAGCCTATATGCAAGTTAGTATTTAGAATGATTGGCTAAAGCTCTTTGATTCACGCTTAAGACTTAAAAATATGTATATAATCTTACTTTATAATGGTGCATCCACTCACAAGTTGAATGAAGATGTTATACTTTCTAATATTCATCTTCATAAATTACCTCCTAATACAACTTTACATCTCCAATCATATGACGCTAAAATTATTTATAGTTTTAAAGTAAATAATTTCTTATAAAAAATTTAAAAAAAATTTAACTTATTAATAAAATAATAAATATAGGCACAATACTAAAAGTTATTTTTGAAAAATTATATTAAAGCATTTGATAATAGTCAAGAAACTGGTCAACCTGTACCTGAAATTACAATAAAAAAAGCAATTAAATATGTAGCAAAAGCATGGGATTTAGTTCAACCAAAGACTATTATAAATGGTTGAAAAAAAACTGATATTCTTCCACCAAATACAGATGATACGAATGATACAGATGATAATAAAAGTATTGATAATTTTGCAGATCCTACTGATGATTATGATGAAATGAATCAAATACAAGATCTTATTGACCGATTAACTCCTAATATATATGAAAATCCAATTTCTGCAAAAGAATATTTATAATACGAAAAAGATGAAACAAACTATCAAATGATAACTGATAAAGAAATTATAGAAATGATGAAAGAACCTGAAGAATCAAATATCGAAGAGCTAGAAATTCTGATTATCAGTAATTATGAAGCACTAATAGCACTCAATCAAGTAATCGCATATATAAAACAAAAATTTAATAAAATGGATTTTTCAAAAGATCAAATTTGAGTCTTAAAAAATGTGTAAAGTAGTATAGAAGGCTGCTAAAAGTCTCCGAATACCACTTTTTAAGTGCGATTCAATATTGGCAATTTTATATGACTTAGAAATACTGCGATTATATGACGTTTTGAATCTTATTTACATGATTCGTACTTTAAAATGCATTTCCAAATGGTGATAGTTTTAGGAGGATAATGTTCGGCCTCACAAATTGAAGCAGGCGAAAAATTTTCATGTAGAAAATGACTTGCACATTCTTTCATGGCCTGCTCAAAGTCCAAACTTCAACCCGATCAAAAATATGTGGGCAGATGTCAAGAAAAGCATCTGAAAAAGAAAAAAAATGCCTTCTTACATTACTGAACTAGAGCGGCATATTAAGAAGTCATAGAAAGAAATTTTCATATATACTATCAAAAATTTGGTCGATAGTATGCCACAACAAATTCAGGCTGTAATTGAAGCAAATGGAAGCTTAACTAAGTACTAATTAATTAGTACAAAATTTATTTATATGTCATTTTTAATAAATATTTAATAAATTTTTTAATTAAATTTTAAAAATTTTAAATGTTTTATTGAGCCAAAAAGCATTCGGAGACTTTTAGCAGCCCTCTGTAAAACGAAAAGAGTTCCATTCTAAACAGCAAATTACTTTGAAATTGTGTTTTACTAATAAAAAATAGCAGGGGTTTTCAGTAGTTTATTTGTAATGAAAAAGTGAAAAACTTGTAATAAAGTTATGCTGAGTTTATATTATATTTAATTAAAAAATCGATTACTAATTGACCTTCTGAATATATATAAATATAACATTTTTTATTATTATCAATATACTGAATTTAGATAAGATATTCGGTATTGCTATATAATGAATAAATATTTAAAATTCGGTAAATCATTACCGAATTTTTTTATTATAACGAATCATAATCTCTAAAAATCAAGATTCGTTATAGAGAACTTGGACTGTACATTAAAAATCAGCTAAATATATTAAAATAAAATAATTTGAAAGGAAATTTAACCAATATTTGTATTTAAATTATAAAATTTATGCAAAAATATTTAATTTAATTTATAAATATATTTTCTTTAAATTAACTTCTAAATTAATACTTTGAATTAAAATTTTTAGGTTAATCTAAAAGTTTAGTTTATTTGAAATAACAATTCAATTATTTAATCAAATAATATTTGTATCATTTAATTGGATAATAATTTTATTATTATTAAAAGATATTTGTATCATTTAATTAAAATAATAATTTTATTATTTTAAATAAATAATATTATATCATTCAATTAGAATAATAATTTTATCATTCCAAATAAATAATACTTATATTATTTATTTGAAATAATAATTTGAAATATTTCAATTGAATAATATTTTTATTATTTATTTAAAATAATTTGAATTATTTTAATTGAATAATATTTGTATTATTTATTTGGATTAATAATTTTATCATTTTATTCAAATAATATTTATATTATTTATTTAAAACAATAATTTCATTGTTTCATCAAATAATATTTATATTATTCATTTAAATAATAATTTAAATTATTCTAATTAAATGATATTTATATCATTTATTTAAAATAATATTTTATCATTCTAATTAAACAATATTTATATAGGTATTTTGCAATAAAAAAGGAGAAAATACCAAAAAAATTTTTATGAATTAATATTGAATCTGAATTTATTTTACTAAAAAAAAATAATATTTAGCTTATAAAATAAAAAATTTTTTTGATAAATTTTTTCCTTTCTACTGTAAAGCATATTTATTGTTTATTTAAAATAATAATATTATTATTCTAAATAAACAATATTTATATCATTTAATTGGAATAATAATTTATTATTTTAATTGAATAATATTTTTATCATTTATTTAAAATAATAATTTGAATTATTTTAAATAAATAATTTTTATATTATTTAATTAAAATAATAATTTCTTCACTTTAATTGAATGATAATTTATTATTTCAATTAAATTATATTTATATTATTTATTTAAAATGATAATTTGAATTATTCTAATTAAATAATTTCTATTATTTTAATTAAATGATATTTTTATTATTTTTTGAAATAAGAATTTCTGTTATTTTAAATAAACAATTTTATTTTTGAAATGATAATTTTATCATTTTAAATAAATAATGTTTATATTATTTAATTAAAATATTAAAATAATAAATTCTATTATTTCAAAATGATTCTTTTATTATTATTAGAATGATAATTTCTATTATTCTAAATGAATAATACTTATATTATTCTAAATAATGATGTTTTATTATTTATTTGAAATAATAATTTGAATTTTCTAATTAAATAATATTTTTATTATTTATTTAAAAAAATAATTTCATCATTCTAAATAATAATTCTTTTATCATTCTTTTAAAATAATAATTTCTATTATTCTAAAAAAATGATTCTTTTATTATTCATTTAAAATGATATTTTATTATTCTAAAAAAACAATTCTTTTATCATTTATTTAGAATAATAATTTCTATCATTCTAAATAAATAATATTTATTATTTATTAGAATAGTAATTTTGATCAATCTAAAAGAATGATTCTTTATTATTCTTTTGAAATAATATTTTATTATTTGTTTGAAATGATATTTTTATTATTTCAAAAAATAATTCTTTTATTATTTATTTAAAATAATTTCAATTAAATGAATTTTTATTATTTTTTTTTGAAATAATAAATTAATCATTTTAAAAAAATAATTCTTTTATCATTTTATTTAGAATGATGTTTTTATCATTCCAATCAAATGATTTTTTTATATTTTTATTATTTCAAAAGAATTATTCTTTTATCATTTTATTTAGAATAATATTTTATTATTTTAATTGAATAATTTTTATTATTTTTTAAAATGATTATATCAATTATTTCAAATAAATAATTTTATTATTATTTTATTTAAAAAGATGAAAATAATATTAAATATTTAGAGAACTTACTGAAATCGAATTATTTATAAGAATAATTTTATTGATATTATTATAATAAATCTTTTTAACAAATTATTTTCAATTTATTTTAAATCTTATATTATTTTAATATATTATTTAATATACTATTTGAGTTTATTTCTGATATATATAAAAATATTTATATAAATAAATATAATTATTTTATTTTTTAAAAAATAATTTTAATTCAAACTTTATTTTTTTCAAATTTTTCTTTTTTAAATATTACCAAAATACTAATAAAAATTTATTCTAAAAATTAAAAAACATAAGTTGAATTTTATCAATTATTAGTTAGCTTTTTAAATAATTAACTGATTTTTTATTTTTCTATAATAGAAAAAAAATTAATTTCAGGTAATTTGGTAGGAAAAGATAGAATTTTTTTATTTTATTATTATTTTATTTATTATTTTTATATTTTTTAGATGATTTTAAGCAATTTTAAAAGGAAAATTTATTATATTTTTATTATTTATTTATTTTTTATAATAGTGATATTACAAAAACAAATATTTAAAATAATTTTAAAAAATTTTAGAAAGAAATAAATCATATTTTATTATTCTATTTTAATAGAAAATTAATTAATAAGTTTTAGTAATATTTTTGTTATATTTTTTTGCAAATTTATATTAAGTTTTTATTATTAATTAAGTTTTAATATTTAATAAATTTTCTTAAATAAAAATATACTAATTTTATATACTTATTTAATTGAATTAATACTGGATTAAAGCTAATTTTAGGTTAATTTATAATTAATTATAAATTGATACTAAATTATTTTAACAATATTTTAAATTGATTTATAGTTGATTAAATTCTGAATTGATTTTAAATTGATTATTTAATTAAAATTAATCAGTAATATTTTAGATTAATTTTGGTTGAATTTAAATTCTAAATTAATATTAAATAACTTTATCTAATTAAAGTCAATTAGTAATAATTTATACTAATCAAAAAAATATGATTAATCATTTATAAATAGTATTAAAATTAGCCTAAAATCAGTTATTTAATTTCTAACTAATTTAGATTATTTTAACTAATAATTTTTAAAAAAAAATTTTAAAATTTTAAAACTAGTTATTTAATATTTTTCTCTTTAATAAATTTTAGTTTAAACCTTTTTTTATTAAAAAAACCATTAATTTTTTTTTAAAAAATGATTTTTGATATATTAAAAAAAATAAAAGTTATTATTAATATTAATCTATAAAAATAAACATTTTTTTAAAATTAATTTAGAACTTATTTTTAATTCTAGTTACAAGATTTAAAATTAAAGTTAGTCTATAAAATAGCTAATAATATTACATTTATTTTTAAAAATTTTAATTTAAAACTTATTTTTAATCTTAATTATATGATCTTAATCTAAAAAAGCAAACTAATAAATATTATATTTTTTTTTAAGAAATAAAAGTATTATTTTAATTAATTTTATTAAAATTTACTTTTGATATTAGTTGTATAAACACAATGTAAAAGTGAGGGTTTGAGGACTGAAGGTCTAACTCTCACTGAAATATTGTGTGTATGTACCACAGAATGTTAAAAATAATATCAATTTTTTTTATTATATTAGAAGAGTTTCTATCAGCTTTAGAATCTTAATTTTGATATTATATTTTAAAGCTCTGTATGGGTTCTTTATCCTCAGAAAGCATATTAATTTTTATTAGTATTGTTAACGTGCAATCCTTGCGAATTGCGACAGTTAGACAGGGTGTTCGAGTAGTGATTCTTTTAAGTTTACGTAGTGGCTCAATTCGGT